TGTAGAAAAAGTTAATTGGTGGCGGCATCCACACCAGATCACCGTATCGGATTGATACCGGAGCACGAGATGCGTAAATACAAGCTCACAACAAGAAGCAGCAGCGCAGCAACAAGCATCAGAAACATAAACCGAAACGGGACTGCTCCTCATGACAGCGGGTTAGCCTCTTCGGGCTTCTCACCTAAATTGCCTCAGACCAGCCCCTATAGCCTTCTCACAGATCCATCCAGTGTTTAGCGCATAACACATATCCAATTTCAATCGCCGAAATTTCAAACGCTTGTTGTTGCGGCCGTGCCCATTGACTTCTTTATCGTGATCCCTGTACCTAAATGTCATTATTGTAAGATCAATCTGACCAAGACGGGTTTCATGCATAGAGCGTGGAGTTTTGGTTTACTTCATTCATTGTGCTGAATGCACGCTCATTTGTGGCAGTTTCGACAGGCAAGGCATCAAATATATGTGAAAGAGAGCCGCTACGCTGGGAAACGTAGATAAATGAAGGGCAGCGATCAACAGCGGTCGCCAATGAGTAGAAGGGCTGCGATCGACAGGAAGGCGCCAATGGCTGAGAGGGCGGCGATCATCAGGAGAGCGCCAAATAGGAGGACCCCCGATCAGCATAAAACAGGAGGGCGCCAAAAGATAGGAGAGCCCCGATCGACATTCGACAGGAGAGCACCAATAGGTAGGCTAGTGGCAAGCAGCAGCAGGGCGCCAATGGGTAGAAGGGCGGCAATTAACAGGAGGGTGCCAATAGGAAGGAGGGCCCCGGCCAACATTCACCTGGAAGGCGCCAGTAGGTGGGGGAGCACCGAAAAACAGAAGAATTTTAATTATCTGGAGGGCGGTGATCAGCAAGAGGGCGCCAATGAGTAGGAGGATGGCAATCAACAAAAGGTCGCCAATAGGTAGAAGGGCGGCGATCAACAGGAGGACGCCAAAAGGTAGGAGGGCGGCGATTAACAGGAGTTCACCAATAAGTAGAAGGGCGGCGATCAACAGGAGGGCTCCAATAGGACGGAGGGGCCCGATCGACAATCAACAGGTGGGTGCCACCAGGTAAGAGGGCGGCGAGGAACAGGAGGGCGCCAATAGATAGGAAGGTGGCAATCAACAAGAGGTCGCCAATAGGCAGAATGACCATGCAATCAACAGCAGGTCGTCAATAGGTAGGAAGGCGATCATCAACAGGAAGTCGCCGATGGGCGCAAGGTTGACGATCAAGAGGAGGGCGGCAATGGTGAGGAGAGCGCCTTTGCCCAAGAGGGTGACATTGAACAGGAGGGCGCCTGCATGAGTAGGGCTGCGATCAACAGGAAGGTACCAGTGGGTAGGATGGCGGCGATCAACAGAAGGGCGCCAGTGGGTGGGAGGGAACACGAGAGTGCCAAAAGGTAGGAGGGTTCCGATCAACATTCAACAAGAGGGAGCCATGGAGGGCGCCAATGGGTAGGAGGGCGGCGATCAACAAGAGGATGCCAGAACGGAGGACGGCGGCAATCAAAATTCTACAGGAGGGCGCAGTAAGTAGGAGGGCGCCGACCAGTCGAAAGGCGCCAACGGATAGCGGGGCGGCGACCTACAGGAGGGCGCCTTTGGGTAAGGGCGCCGATTTATAGGAGGGCGCCAATAGGTAGGAGTATTCTGATCAGAATGAGGGCGCCAGTGGGTAGGACGGCTGCGGTCAACAGGCTTAAATTGGCGACTACCACTACGATAAGAGCGCTACACCCTACACAGCGGCTGGAGGGCGCCGGAGGGCGCCTTCCAACCGCATTTTCCTGTAAACATATTCGCGATTGGAGGGCGTCTTCGGCGCCCTCCAATCGCAAAGGGGGGGGGCATGATCCAGTGGCCCCCCTGCCTACCCCCCTGGATAATAGATGCGTGAAATAATACAGCGTTATAGGGAGGGGCGAATCATAAAACAGGGGCGGCACGTAGCGGTGGCAAGGTGCCTTGGGAGGGCGACGCCGACTGCTGGATAGAGCATTGTGGGGAGGGGCGGCTTATTGAGGGCGGCGGGAAGCTGTGGCGAGGGCAGCACATAGAGAGCGCCGATGTACTCTGGGGAGGGGCGGCAAGTCATCTGGAGAGGGCGGCACAGACGGCGATAGAGCATTATGCGGAAGGGCGGCACATTGAGGGCGGTGGGGTTCTGTGAGGGGCGGCACATAGACAGCTCCGAGGAAGTTGAGGGAGAGTCGGTGCGGAGGGGCGGCAGGGCATCTGGGAGGGGAGGCATGTATAGAGGTTACCTAGGTATTTTAGTGAGGAACGGCACGTTGAGGCCAGGCGTATGTAGTGGACCGAGCAGTGCCGTTTCTTTTGCTTCGTTTTGAAGTCCCTAAACCCCCAAATTGCAGACTTCCTCTACCGGGGGCGGCATTTCAGCATCCCAAAAAATGGGCTGGAATTTCCAGCGTTCCAGCGCGGTGGTTACGCCCATGGACGAGAGCGGTTGGCATTTTTGGTATGCAGTGTTATTCATTGAGAACCGGTCGGAGCGTTTGAGTCTTTAATTTAGTGGTCGCCGCTTACTAATCATGCGGCATACACGCCGCACATAACCGCCAATGCCGCAACGCAGCTTAGATTTCGAAGTAAGCATTTAGTCCCACCCCCCGTGGCCGGCGCGTATTTGGAATTTCCGACCTCGACGAGCGTCTGTGGTAGAAAACCACCACTTTGGTAGGGGAAACTACTGCTGTCTGCTACCGTTTGCACTGCATGTCTCGCTGTAGTTGCGACCGATTGCGACATCTATGCAATTGGGTACGTACCTTAGCGATATACGTACTTTATAATTTACGTACTTCTTCGATGCGTATTTTCTTCTTTGACGTACTTTTGTCTAGGTATACGTACTTTGTGCTGTACGTACCTACCTCTGCGATACGCCTACTTCTGTCCTTGACGTACCTACTTATGCCATACGTACTTTATACTCGACGTACTTTTGCGATACGTACTTTTGCCCTTGACGTACTCTTGTACATGCGTAGGTACTTTATGCTGTACGCACTTTTACGATATGTGCTTTTGTCCTTGACGTACTTTTGTCCATGCGTACTTAATAATGCACCACGTACTTCTTCGATACGTACTTTTGTCCTTGACGTACTTTTATCCATTCGTGCTTTATACTGTATGTACTTTTGCCATGCGTACTTTTGTCCTTGACGTAATTTTGTCCATGCGTACTTTATATACTGTACGAACATTTGCGATACGTACTTTTGTCCTACCTGCCACTTGCCAGGGGCGTCGCCACAGATTTTCGACAGGGGGGACGGATCGGCCGACTAAAAACCCAAAATTAGGTATCGTTACCGTACTTTTTCAGGCCGATGCACTATCTGTTCAACGATACTGGGCTGAATTCCTACGCGGTACGCGTCTAAAGCATAGGCGCGGGAGCCGGGGGGCAGTGGGGGCAGCTTGCCCCCCCCCGGCTCTGGGGCCGTGGGGGCGGTGCCCCCACAGCTTTGAGACGGAATACCACACTTTTTTTGCAAATGTTTTCTTTTTTGTTGAAAAAGCCGAGGGGTGAAAAATAAGTGGCCTTAAACCGGTGAGAAAACTAGATTTGGGGATACCCTAGGTTGATCTCTATTAACCCTATTCCTGGCGGGCTCCGCCGGGACAAGAAACTGGCGGGGGGGCCGATTCGGCCCCCCCCCCTGAGATCTCGAGAACGAAGCAAGATAGCGACAAGCGGTAAACGGCATCGGATACGCACGGCCAAGATCTACAATTTTTACTAAGGTCATTTTCAGGTCAGGTCAAAGATGACGTCACAGGGGTCGAAAAAGTCAAAATGGCGGCGCTAGATATGGAGAGAGTTTTTCTCGAATAACTTTCGAATTAGTCAAGATAGGAACAAACTAAGGCCATCATCGTGATCCTCTCGTCAATCCGCATCGAATGATATATATATATGTTGACCTCGAAAGGTCAAGGTCAAAGGTTGACCTCAGGTCACGTGACCTCGAGGTCATCATGTATATCATTCGATGCGTCTTGACGAGCTGAACACAATGAGACCATCCACGCGTCTGTATCTTGTTCCTGTACGGAGTTATTGGCCAAAAACCTTTGGTGACCTTTGATGACGTCACATGACCTCACAGCTGCCCAACAGCAAAACAGACCTCAAGGTAGTGAAGGTTGATCGTATATGAAGTCATGTATGGTATATGGGGCCATTCCGACCCGTTTTAGTGGTAAAAACAGGGAGTTGATTTTTCCCCCATTGACTTATAATGGGGAGGTCGCGAAATTGACCTGACCTTAGGTCACCGATATCAAAATTCCGAGATATACAAATTGCACATACTGGTACCCTAACTAAACCCTGAAGAGAAGAAATTGATCGGTCAAAAACTCTAGCTCTGGCGTGATTGCAAACTTTTCTGAGGTAGGGTCACCAAACCGCCTCTGGTGACCTGACCTGAGGTCAGATCAACTCAAAATTTTCAGACATGTTGCGTAGAAGCCTTTTAGGAAAAGTCAGAAAATTTGAGCTTCCTAGCTCAACGCGTTTGGGAGAAATAACCAAAAAACCTCAGGGGGGCTCCTGAGGCCCCCCCCCCGCCAGGAATAGGGTTAAAGTGTGCCCCCCCCCCCCCAGTCGGAAAGTAGTTCCCGCGCCCCTGGTCTGAAGTATTCATTTCTACACTGGTAACCAGAGCCTCCGGTCTTCTATCAGGGTATAATTGTTGACACATGCCGTCAATCTGATAGTTAACTGTTAATGTATACATCATACGTAGTGGTTGCTTTAGGTATTTGTCACAACTCTGAACTCATAATCTCTTTTGGTCTCCAGTATGAATGGGCGGCGCGGGTCGGCGCGAAGCGCCGCGAGATTTTCGTCGGGGTCGGAAATGTATATGCATAGATGTCGCTACAATAGCTTGACATGCAGTGCAAATTGTAGCAGACAGCAGTAGTTTCCCCTACCAAAGTGGTGGTTTTCTACCACAGACGCTCGTCGAGGTCGGAAATTCCAAATACGCGTGGCCGGCCGCCGTTATACGGCCTTGGGCCGCCGTTCGCAGGTATGTCGATGGCTGTGGGCAATAACGTGTTTTCAGAGCATTTTATTATCTTTTCAGCCTGTATGATGAGCTCATTCCCGGAAGTGAAAAGATATCGAGTTCAGACTTCCTATATAAGCGTTGGTGGGCTTTTTGTCCATAAATTGAAAGCATGGGATGCTGTCCAATTCATGCAACATCTTTTTGCGCCAGTTTCGTCCAAAATATGTTGGCGCGAAAAGGACAGTTGTAACCGTTTATATAGGGCCTGTTCCAACTTCCAGCGCCTCCAGAAACTAGCCTTGGTTGTAACCAAGATACCTAAACTTGACCTCAACATCAACCTCCTTGCAGGGGACAGATGTCAGTTGGGCAAACTAGACCTTTGGAATCAAAATATGGAGGCATCAAAAGATTGATTCCTTATGACCATATTTGGGCATAAATGCAGACCATTTCTAACTTACCAAACACTTAAAAATAAGAGAGTGTTTCAAGAAGGAGCATGCCTGATCTTGAACAGAAATGCTGGAAGTATCTCCTAAGCAAAATAATATTGCTCCTATCACAACAATTTGAATTCTATAGGTAGTGAAAGGAAATCAAGGAATTGATTCACTTTAAACAGATAATCATAATATTGATTCCCCGTCAGCTGGCTAATCATTATTTTGATTCACAGGTAATGTTAACAGATAGGCAACAATGACTTGCAAGAATACAGCATTTATCTTGCTATTATTCTCATTTAGTGGTATCCTCAGCACCACAACAGATACCTATAGCATTGTTGCACTTTACCTTCACTACATTTGATAACAATTCACAATTTTGAAATGTCAAGAATGCAAAAACTGAAGCAACAGGTAAAAACCATATAATAAATGTAAAAGCACTACAACAATGATAATAAAAGGTTTGAAAATTTCATTTTGCCATTTTACACAAATACTGATTGTTAAGTATGTGATTCATGATACAAAAATAACATACAGTGTGATTTCCTCAAAACAGCTTTTACGTGATGGACAGTGCCTCTGTCTTTTTCCCATTCACAAGGCCAAAGGGACAATTTCTTAGTTTTGAGGTAACACTTTTTGCAAACCTACCACATTTTTCTACCTTTTTAAAGAAAAATCTCACCGTCATGGGCCTTTTTTCAACCGTAACGATACATTTGAAGTCAAAAGTGTACCCAAATGAATCAAAAAATTGATTCCATGCCCATATTTGGTCATGGCTCCTCCCACCAGAATCAAATTATTGATGCCTCCATATTTTGATTCCAAAAGTCTAGTTTGCCCAACTGATGTAACGGGTTATTGCTTGAAGGTCAAGGTCAGCAAATTTTCAAAGCAGGTTTAAAATTGATAAAATTATGATGCCCGAGTGTAAATTTTGTCACAACTGGTAGCTTTAACATAATTTATTTGCGAAAAACTGAGGGAGAAGAGGGCCCTGTTTCACCGGTGATAGCAGCACGCTACTATCAAATTGCGCGAGCTGACGTTAGACGTAATGTGATGAGGTCACACTAATGACGTTTCGTGTAATCCGTGAGCTGCGTTTGGAACAGAGTTGCTGTCTCGTTGAGTTGTGTTTGATACATTTGTTTGATCGCACGGCCGTGAAGATGCTAGCAGCAATATTTGATGACATCACACAGATTGACGGCGTCATGGTTTGTTGATGTTTCCATGGAAACCCAATTTGACAGACGACGGTGAAAACAGGGCGCCTGGGGCGATTTGATCAAGGTTCGTGAAATTTACACGTGACGTTTAGGATGTAGAAGGCCCACAGAGGGGGAGAAGCTCCAAATGTCACGTGACTAATATGCCCTCCGGCGCCCTGTTTTCACTGGCGTCCAATTTGACACGTGTAATAGCAGCGTGCTGCTATCACCGGTGAAACAGGGCCGAGGTCCACCCAACCTCTGTACAGTTCGAGGTTAAGTCTGTTTTTCCTGAGAAGAATCGGTAAATATTTACTTGAATCTTTCTACGATGCCTGAGTAGATGAACATGTGTTACACTTTTGTTGAAGGGAATAGTTCACTTTCCTGAAATGAGTTCTTTACCATGGATTTGATATTTTTATGCTCAAAATGATCAACAAGGAAAATAAACCTTTTTATTAAGAAGATTGCTTTTTATGTTGAATGATGTTGAGGGTTTCTTTGAAAATGAGCCCCATTATTATTAAAAGATAAGCAAGTAATAGCCAAAGGCTATTACTTGCTTATCGATTGCTTTTTATATTTTAACTTTGGAAGAACTACATTCTAGGTAGGGTAGCCTGGGGCAAGACGCCCCAGATAATTTATTTTGCTACACAACTTTTGTCCCACATCACCTGGAAGGCCAAATTTGTGCTCAATGTGTTCTTTGGACATTTTACTTTAAATTCCACCCCTCAAATTCATTCACTTATGATCGGACTCCTAGCTAGGAAGTGATTTGTGAGGCAATTGCAAATATGACCTCTAAGCCTACACAACATACAGGAGGTCCTTTTACACGTGGGAAGTTTTCTAAGAGGTATTTGTTGTTACACAGGAGGCCCCTGTGCCAGCACAGGAGGCCCTGTGCTCGCGCCCTCACAGAGGGCCCCTGGGCCCGCACAGGAGGCCCCTCTGCCCAAATAGAAGGCCCCTTTGCCCATAGGAGACCACTGTGCCTGCATAGGAAGTCTCTGTACCCGCATAGGAGGCCCCTGTGCCCGCTCAGGAGGTCCCTGTGCCCGGACAGGAGGCCCCTCTGCCCAGTAGGAATTAGGAGGCCCCTTAGCCCACAGGAGACCCCTATCCCTATGCCCGCACAGGAGGCCCCTTTGCCCAAAGGTTACCCCTGTGCCTGCACAGGAGGCCCCTGTGCCCACACAGACAGCCCCTGTGCCTTAATAGAAGACCCCTGTGCCCGCACAGGAGACGCCTCTGCGCCAGTAGGAGGCCCCTTTGCCCACAGGATACCCCTGTGTCCGTACAGGAGGCCCCTGTACCCGCTGAGGAGGTCCCTGTGCCCGCACAGGAGGCCCCTCCGCCCAAATAGGAGGCCCCTTGCCCACAGGAGACTCTATCCCTACGCCCGCACAGAAAGCCCCTGTGCCCACACAGGAGGCCCCTGTGCCCGTAAGGAGGCCCCTGTGCCCGCTCAGGAGGCCCCTATGCCCACACAGGAGGCCCCTATGCCCACACAGGAGGCCCCTATGCCCACACAGGAGGCCTCTGTGCCCGCACAGGAGGCCCCTCCGCCCAAATAGGAGGCCCCTTGCCCACAGGAGACCCCTATCCCTATGCCCCCACAGGAGGCCCCTCTGCCCAAAAAGGAGGCACCTTTGCCCAAATAGGAGGCCCCTTTGCCCACAGGAGACCCCTGTGCGCGCAAAGGAGGCCCCTGTGCCCACACAGAAGGCCCCTGTGCTCACACAGGAGGCCCCTTTGCCCGCACAAAAGACCCCTGTGCCCGCTCAGGAGGTCTCTTTGTCCGCCTTTGCCCAAGTAGGGGGCAACTGTGCGGCCATAAAGGACGCCCCTGTGCCACTGGCGGATCCGGAACTCCGTTTTTTTTTTTAGGGGGAGGGGCTAAACGTTGGTACAAGGCCGCTTTCTGTAGGCAAAAAGTTGTTGAGGGGACGGGGCGCACTCCGCAATTTTCAACCCATATTTTTCCATATACCTACCGGCCAATGTATGGTTAAAAAAGTTGTTGAGCGGGAGGAAAAGGAGTGTGCTCCGAATTTTCCAGGCCGTTTTCATTCATTGCAACGGCATAATACGAGAGTTCAGATAAAAAATTGTGGAGACGAGGGGGGGGGGGGCTTATACTATATGTATTGCCTGTATTGTCCTATTCATAGGTGTAGCGTGATGGCACGTGGGTGTTTGCATCATTAACCCGCGCCCCAGTGGCGATCTCAGCCAACTTTGCCCTTGTGGGGGGGGGGGGGCATATGTTACCACCCACCTCTAACTCAAAAACTAAGAGGGCTAGAAAGACGCCGAAAAAAGCAATCGATAGCTCTCAATCCGTATATTTGAAAGTATTTTTTGTCATTTTTCATCTTAGAGCAATATTGGGGTCACTGGAGGTCATCAAAGGTCAAAATTTGCCAAACGTCATTATATTTTCAGAAAACATGCATTTATCTCAGGAACTATGATAGCTAGAAAAATGCGTGGAAAAGCAATCGATAGCTCTTAAACTCTTCTTTCGATAAGGTCACCATCAAAAGTGACCTCAGGTCAACGGTTTAGCCTCCAGAGGGCAAAAACTCCAAAATAGCCGTTTTTACGAAAAGTGTTCTTCGACAATAACTTTGACTAAAAAAAAAGCCACGACATTTATATTGCCAGAATCGTGTTCCTCTCGCCGAGACGCATCGGATGATCTATAATTTGACCTTGAAAGGTCAACTTGAAAATTTGACCTCAGGTCAAGGTCATGACCTGGCCGGAAAATGTCATGTTGCATATCAGTCGGTGCGTCTCGGCAAGACAAACACAATGAGACCATCCCCAGCGTTCTATCTCTTTCCAATAGAAAGTTATTGGCAAAAATCTGTTTGTAGCCTCAAATGACCTCCGATGACCTTTCTAGAGCCTCTCAGCAGAAAAGACAACTTGGTCGTCACGGGTGGTCCAAATCATTGTGATTCTGAAACATTTGGACTGTTCCTATGCGTACACATTACACACGGATAAAGAGGCATTTTCGTTTTTCTCCATTGACTCCAATGGAAAGTCTCTGGACTCTCCAATGGAAAGGCCACGTCACTGACCTGACCTTAGGTCACGGATATAAAAAATCCGAGATATACAAATTGTAGGCTCCCATAACATCATGCAATCCACCAAGTTTCAAACCTCTCTGACAAACACTGCAGGCTGTACATGATTGCAAACTTTTTTAGGTTTGGTCAGTTAACTTGACCTGGTGACCTGACCTGACATGACCTGGGGTCAAAAATTTCACACATTGTCCAAAATTGATGTAAAAAAAGCTACCCCAAGCGGCTCGGCG